TTGGAAGTCACGAAAAAGCGGCTCTGAAGAAGGCGATACTGCCGAAACGTCAGCTAGCGTTGTATTGTATTGTGTTTTTATGGAAGTAAATGTATGCTGTTTGAAAACTTCGCGATCGCTGAACAAGAAAACGACACATTCATATTCCAATGCCGAGGTTAAGAGAAAGTCGAGGGAATTCGTACCTCTCGGCAGAGGCTCCCAAGCTGAGAAGAAGTCCGGCGTTTCCATCAGGAAGCCTAGCTAGGAGTAAACCAATATCAGGATCCACCACCGTCCTGGTATCAAAATCGCATGGTGGAAAATCTCCCTCTGATCTACAAGGGCAGCGACTGCCTGTCGTGGTGACGACCTGGGGTAGACTTTTGCCAGGCTGTCCTGGGCCTGCGGCACACCTTGGCACATCTGACTTTCGGACTAGAGGAAATCACAATGGCCAGAGCAGCAAAACTCTCAAAAATGGAAAAGACGCTGAAGACCGCACAACCAGTGAGGACGTGCAGTCCAAATGTCCAAGTATACATATATGAATATATATAAATACATGTGTTTACATAGCGAATACACAGTCGACTGAAGAAAATCGACCCAGTAAACGTAAACAGGCAGAAAAATTTCTACCTGGGGAGCTGGCCAGAAACGTTATGCCTCTTCTGCTCGCTGGAGTGCCTGATGACCTGAGCTTTCCAATACTCCTGCGTTTTAATTTTCGCAGAGCTTGCACGGTGGTCGATACAAAGTCACGAGCTGCAAAGAATTACCTAGATCAAAATGACACATTGCGAGATTAAGAAATGGTAAAGGTGTACACATGAAGAAACCAGTCAACACAAGATGAGTAAATAAAGGAAGTGATGCAATATCCGAAATAAGCACCTTTATTTTTCACGGCACGAGCAATGTTCGATCGGCAACTGATGAATGAGCTTTGCGAAGCACTTCCAACGTCCATGACCACATTCCGACTCAAATGAAACTGGAAGCTCATTTAGAGACGAAAATCAGGAAGTGATATCATAGGTGATATCATTATTTCATCTTCACATTCCTCGTCCATATATTACTCTGTGCGGCTGCTCTCACCAAGTAATTGGAATTCTTACAAAGCATAAAACGTCTCCGAAGAAGGAAACCGCCCAAACGTCAGCTACTGCGCACTAGCAAATCTATGACACCAACCTCGTGTTTGTTCATAGAACAGAAACAAAGAAAAAGAAAAAAGGCCGGAAAACTCACACACTACGAGCTAAGCATTATACTTCTACTTTGGTTTTGTAATTGGGAAATGCAACATTTAAAATGAACAGCGACTTAACACCTTTTGGACAGTAATGGCATGGTTAGTACCAGCATTTCGGAGAGAGGACCACGATACGATTGTACAATGAGAATCACGATAGCATTGCGGTCACTTTCCAGGATCACCCAACTGAAACGAGACTGGTATAAAAATAAATTTGCTTTAATCCTTATTTAAAAACATAGAGGTATATTTCCGCACCAACCCCGTGTCAGCTAAATAGCCCAAGAAAGTGGAGAACAAACCACTCTTTTCAGCACTTTCTCTGACCTACTCTATAAGAGACACAAATAGCAAAATGATTCCAGAGTTTTGTCACAAAACCATTGAAGGAACCGAACTTTTACTATACAGTCCTCTACAGTTCTTCAGTTTATTCCTCTAGCAAAAAACCAACGCTTCGATCTTAGTTGATGCAAACACTGGGGCACACCGGGTTCCCCATGTTTTGTAAAAACGACTCCAAAAGGCGTAAGATTGACTTGCAAAGTGTTGAGCTGAAGAATAACGGCGATTTAAAGTGTAACCGATAAACATTTACACATACGTCGTGTGAGCAAAACTCCATCTGTCAAAACCAGACGTTCTTCTCCTACATGCGTTAGCCATTCTTATTCCATAAAAAGTAAACCGTCAACAATTTAGAACTTATCGATCAGTGGAAACAAATGCGTACCAAAGTCCAGATTCACTTAACCTGCCTAATGTCGCTCTTACCTGCGTCAGACTTTTCCCAGGCGGGACTCCAGAGAACCACAATGGCTAAACCATCAAATCTCCGGAGAATGCTGTACTCGCACAACCAGTGAAGACGAGCCATCTAAGTACCCAAGTAAGTAATATACTTCTCCGCCGTAATCGTCTCAGTCTAACTCAAGAAACTGACGTGGATTCGAAACAATGTCAGTGCCATCTATATGGGCATCCTTGAGAACACAGAACCTTGGACATAGAAAACCAGTGAAAATATCCGAGATCTTTTATCGTTTATTATTTATTTGCTAAGGCAGTAGATTCATGTCATTAGGGGTGGTGCCGATTTCAAAACATAAGAAAGTTGTCTGGGACGTTTGGAATGATGGTGTGTTCACTTCGAAATAAAATTTGTCCAACCTACCATTAAATTAATCCCATCATGCGACCGAGACCCACCATATATGTTACGAAAGGTTACTACTATGCATATTCAGTGAAATACTGAGAAATAATTGATTATAAATATTTGATCTCCAATATCCCCAAAATACAATGAGTAAACATTTAAATGTGTGTTTGCTTGTGAAATACAAAACGGTAAAGAAAAAGGATAAAGCTCTTGGCGTTGACCAATCCTGAGAGATGCGTCATGCATTCGACTTCACTAAGCATCGTTCGGAGTTACAGCATGCATATTTAGTCCATAACATAACACGCGGTGGCCTGCTGACGTATCGAACCAATGCTGATATCCTTCCGGACAAGTCTGGTACCAATTTGCCGAATCCGGAGGGATGGAGGCTAGGCGATCATGGGGCGCGGGATCGAAATCATCTGCATTTTAGGGCTCTGCCGACCACTGCTCTACACGAGCCTCATATTAAATAGTACTACCAACAATCTCTCAGCAAGAAAATATCGAAAAGTGTTACCAACGTCGAACGGCGTATTTTTTGGTGCTCTTTTGCGTAATATTCGATGTGTTGGTGTCACGCTTGCCGTCTCGTCTGTTCAGTTAACCTTTCCACCTTCAATGTTTCCTTTTCGTAGTCGAGAAGTATCGTTATCGATCGAGTCTGATCAATCAGTCTTTTGTGTACTACTTTTTGCTTTCGCATCGTTGAAGTAAGTTATTGCTGTTTTTCTCTTATTTTTAGGTGTTGACTAAAGGTATGGCAACTGGGAATCAAATCCAGGAGCTTCAAGGGACCTTAACGCCAATCGTGAAAACACCACTTTCGGACATACTTGCGATTTCACAGTCACATCAAGTTAAGGACGAGTTGTGAATTTTCGAAAACGATTCGAACTCTCGGTTATTTCATGTGTTAGAAAATATTCTTAAGCTTCGAGGGTTTTTCGAGTACCTCTCAGGTGTTTGTTTATAGTTTTCGTTTTCAGGTCGGATTTGTGGTTTCTTCGAAGCGCAATTTTTTCGTTGCATGGAGGCGTATGGCGCAAAACTCGGACGTCTGTATTGTGATCTGGAGCATCGGGACTTGAAAGAGTGTGTAACGAACGACAAGAAGATAAAGGTAAGCACTGTGTTCTCATTTTCGGACTTTCTTGAACGTGGTTGGTTATAAACCTCTTCTGGGGTTGATTTTAGCATGTACGTATGTTGATTAGTAGCGCCTATGAGTTTTTTATGATTTATGAGTTAATAACGCGTGTAGCGTTCGAAAGCGTCCTGCAATACACATGGGATCGGTCCTTTCGCACCAAGCCCTCCATCCCTCCGGGATCAGCAAATTGCTGCCAGACTTGTCCGGGAGGATATCAGCACTGGCTCGATGCATCGGTAGGCCCAGCTATGCTTAATGAAGTCAAATGCGTGGCGCATCTCTAAGGGATTGATTAACGCCGACAACTTTATCCTTTATGCTTTTTATGAATTATATTCAAAAATTGTTGCAGAACTGGTACCTTCTTTGCTTTCAGCGTGCTGCTGCTATTGAAGCAGAACGCAAAAGGCTCTATCGCGAGGGAAAACTTGAAAAGCCTTTTCTAGAGGACCATCCGTTGCCAGGACAACACAGACCAGATCATTTTGAATGGAATAGGATCTTGTAAAATTTCTAATTTAGGTCTAGAAAGGAAAATTAATAAAAGGATTGGAGTCCTCCGTTCGTATTGTTGTATATTGGTCCAACATTTCCAGTTTATTTCCATTATGAAACCTATTAATTGTAATGTGAAAGAAGTAGTTTCTGCTCGAGGACATGTTCGATGAGGAGTCGGCACCACGGGACAACGACTTAGGACCTAGTCCATCGTCACCATGTTCACTTTTCGGGCAAGAATGGCAAAGAAGGAAAGCGTACATCCGGCCAAGTGACAACATAGTAGTTATGTTAACAGAAAGGGAACGTGGTTATCATCGAAATGGTGAGTAAGTAGTTTTCAACGCTTGCAATTCGTTTAACTTTTTGGATTTAACTATAGCCAGAATCGAAGAAAAAGTGGATATAGGTTGCTTTGCTTTTGTTGGTTTATATGGTTGCTCGCTGTCTAGTGGGCATGGGCATTTGAATAAGCCTAACGAAGGCTGTGGAAAAGACATGCGTTCGGGAGTTCTGCAAATATCTCAGCATTGTAGAAGTTATATTTCGCAACATACCCTACCGTTAAAAAGAATGGGCAGTAATTAAAAAGGTTAAGGCTGTGGAAGTAGTTTTTAACAGTCTCGTTACTTTTCTATCTGCTGCGTTCTCTTTTTTAATGGCAGGTTATTATGTGAAATGTAACCATAATGATGTTGAAGTATTTCCAAATTCCGGACCACTGGTGTCTGCGGTGGGGATCGAACACGCTGTTACCCTTTCTGGGGGCCAACGCGTTCATTACCACACCATGCGAGTCGTTACTACTGGCAATCACCCGTCAACTGGATTGACCTGGGGAGCCAAAATCGACGTTAAACCCAGAGTAGAAGCTGTGGTATAAATCACATCTCGTTACTTTTTTATTTACTGCCTGCTCTTTTTTAACAGGTGAGAGAAAGGCGAAACGAAGGATTCGCATGGTGTGATGGTGAACGCTTTAGCCCCCGGAAGGAGTAATATCGTGTTCGGTCCCCACCGCAGGCACCAGCGATCCGGAGTTTTGCAAATATCTCAGCGTCATTATGATTTTTAAGTCTTTCGACGAATGATGCCTGTAAGTGTCACGATGGTTTTGCTCGAGTGGACGATAGCAGGCCTTTAGGTATCATTTTCTTTCCAACGGTTTATTTTAGTGCACATAGATCCTTTCCTAGCCTTCTTGTAATCACTGGATAGCTTGTCCAACGCTGATACCATGGCGGATGTCATCTATTTAACGATGTCTTCTTAAATGTTGCTGAGATATTTGCAAAACTCTGGACCGCAGGTGTCTATGGTGGGGAACGAACGCGCTATTATCCTTTCCGGGG